GGGGAATGAATCCAAGTTGCAAAAATGAAGTGGCAACATAGCAGGCTCTCTTTACTGATGAGGCTAGTATAAGGATTTTGATTTCTGTTCCAATCATCATATGGAAGATAAAATCTCAGGCGCTATCATAAAAACTTGGAGTTCATATCAAATGGAAGATAAGACGATGATTTTTGCTCCTCCAATTTTCCCTAGACTAGATAGGGATGAAGATCACAGCCAAAAACAAAAGTGCAAGTAATATTGCAGGAAATTTAACTTGGCATTAATAAGAAATTAAAAGTATTTGGATAGTCCAACGGTAATGAGAACTAAAACCTTACAAGAGGGGCATACAGCTGGAAATACGAATCACAGACAAGTGGACATAAGAGAATTTTGTAATTACTAGTAACTCGTTTTTTTGAACCAAATCATGTTGCTTACAAATATTTTTAGAAATTCTACATCAATCAATCCAGGAAAACGCAAGGCCTCTGGGCAGCACAGAAAAAGAAACTAAGGCCATATAGTTGGTCAGTTACTCTATACAATCATGGAACTGCTGAACCTCTTCACAATATCTGTGCTTCTTTTCTCGTAAATACAGAACCTATCTACGTTTATAAATGTTCACATAGTACATTTATCAAACGAAGACATCGCACACAGAGACGATAGAAGACAGAGACGATACAAGGTTATTTCGTATCCATGTTTATTACAGCCATAATCACATAAAGTTTTAACTGTATGCTTGCCAAATATGTGTTTCTTTTCATTTGTACTTCTATAAGACATCTACTAGTAGATGCTTATTTGGGATTACTGATCGCATGACCAAAGAATACGATTTAAATAAATAAAAGACAAAAGGAGAAAAATACCATCTAGATTCAGTACTTTCAGTAGACAGAAACAAAAAAAGCATGCATTTAGGCCAAGAAAGAGGACCGCATACATGAACACCATACAAACATATATGAAATACATTACCGGCAAGAAAGAGGACTGGATACACGAGTGTCATACAAACATATATGAAGTGCAATAAAATTGTTGAACCTAGTTTAATTGGCAATGTCTGCTACTTGTCAGGACCCACCACATACACAAATATATCAACCAATTTCTACCTCCATCATCGTGGAGTGGACCAGAGCCTGCAAGCAGAACTTCTCTGTTAAGTGTATATCATCAATTGTTGAGTGTAATTAAACAGAGGTCTTGTTCAAGACATGCTAAACAAGCATAAATTAACCAACAAACAGGCAAGATATGATGATTTTATACTACTTCTAGATTAGCTACTTCAGGAATAACATTCGTTCAGAGACCTGTAGCTAAATGGACAAGGAGGTTTATTGAATGGAATCACTAACGCTGTTAAGTAACTAATACCAAACTCAAGTGAATACTAAGTTTTAAAAAGAATCTATAATCCTTTCCCTGATTCAATGTACACATCAGTATTCTTCAGCCACGTTATCTTATGTTGTGCAGATCCTTCATTAGCCTTGACATACCCTTATTGAACGGGTGTGAAATAGATGCAAGTACTTCGTGTTAATTCTTCAAAATTTACCAAAAGATAAGAAACTTGATGAACCCGTATTGCATATTTCCACATGCCCATGCCCATACTGGATATGTACAGCAGATCCATGTACCATAGGTCATAACTAAAAAAGAGTATGTCCTACATCATCTTGCAGTAAAATTAGCAATCACGTCACTGCAAGAAACCCAAGCACGGACTTAAGTTAACATAAATGTTAAGAATGAAAATAACCCTGGAGTACCTATAGATCATTCAATCATTTCACTTGAATGTTAAATATGCAAGAGTCTCTTGTGGTGGGACATTGGCAGTGCACTGCAGAGAATGATTCAAGATATGATCCTTATTTTTTAGGATAAGGGTGGTTTAAGGGCCTGCTCGCGCGCACCTCGGCTCCCACCAGCAAAGATACTGGGTAACTCTATCCGTCAAGGCTTAGACAAATGAAAAGAAATAACCTAGTGTTATTGTCTCCACTGGGACTTGAACCTGAGACCTCATGGTTGATTTAAGATATGATCTTTTTAATGCATAATGCAGACACAAGTCCATATGAAATAAGATCAATCGGATTTCTGAACTTACAACCCATTAGTTTCCATTGCCATCAAAATCAGGCACAAGGAGATAGACTAACCTGTAGTTCCTGTTCTGAGATTTTAAGCCTTTCACCACACTCTCTTACTTGTGCATAATGTTTATACAACTACAATAATTATTGAACACCACTACAATTAGCACGGATTAGGTAATTAGATTTATTATGAGAAGAAAATTGATAATACCGAGATACCTTTGATAATTGCATCTGTCTCTGTGATGTAAGCTTCTGTGCAGCTGTCAATGAATCCTCCAGTTTCTGTTTTCATCAAACAGATGCTAGTAAGAAGGAAGAAAATATATCTAGACCATGTTCAAGGAACTCACTAAGATAGTATGAATAGTAGTAGAAAAGAATATGTTACTAGGAAAACCCTGCAACTTATCATAACCTTGGATCTTTCCTGTAACTTAGACACCAAATTTTGCTTCTCGTTGACCAATTCCTCCATCAAAGATGCCTAATCAAGTCCACTAAACATTAGATTCAGGTAATGCAGAACTTACTACTGTATCCAAAAGTCAACAGAACATTTGTTTATAAATATAGATGTAGTAAAAAACCTATCAAAGTAGGTAAAAGTACCACAGAGCCAATTACACAAGGTGTCAGTATGGTGTTTCTCTTCTAGTAACAAAATGGTATGTGAAAACAAAAAAGTAATACATGGTCCATAATTGCAGGTGGATGATCAATGAAATAAGTAAAATAAAACTTTTGAAGTGCTATAAACTCGTGACACTGGTCCAGATGGTATATAGATGTTTGGAAGTGTTTTGGAGAGATTGGAATAGGATGGCTCAACAAGCTATTTAATGCTATTCTAAGAAATGGAAGGATGCCCGATGAGTGGAGAAGAACAAAGAAGATATTAACTGTTGTGACATCTTTTTTAACTATTGTGGCATTAAACTTATGAATCATAGGATGAAACTCTTAGAAAGAGTGAGAGCCTTAGACTTAATTCTTTTTTGATAAGTATAATAATATAATAGAGCTAATAGACTTAGGGACACTACAAGGGTGATAGAGAATTAATTTGGATATATGCCCAGCAGATCAATAATGGAGGTATATTCTTACTAAGAAGATTGATGAAAATTTATACGAGAGGAAGAAAAATCTATACATTTAGTTTATTGACCTGGAGAAAGCATATGATAGAGTATCAAGAAGGGTCCTTTGGTGATGGTTGGAGAAGAAAGGAATTGATATTAAATAGAAAAATGACATAAAGGACATATACTGAGGATCTATCACTAGCGTGAGAACAATAGTAAAATATACAAAAAAAATTCCCCATACTGTAGATTTATATCAGGGTTCACCATTGAGCTTGTACTTGTTGGGCTTTAGTCATGGATGAGCTAACCAACACAATATAAAATAAGATCTCATGGTGTATGCTATTTGCTGATAATATTGTGCTAATCAATGAAACCAGCGAGGGTATCAATTAAATGTTCGAATTATGGAGAAGCACTCTAGAAAGCAAAGTTTTTAGGATAGTATGATTGAGTATATGCGTTGCAAGTTTAGTCAGCACAAGAAGAGTGAAGTTAAGGTGAGACTAAACGGGATTGTGGTGTCTAAATGCAATAATTCATATATTTAGACTCGTTCCAGGAGAATGAAATAATAGATGAAGATGCTACACATAATCAAAATTGAATAATTGAAATGAAGAATTATTATCGGGGTAGTCTTACGTGATAGAAGGATACCTAAAAAGATAAGTTCTATAAAATATTATAAGACCAGCAACAGATATGGGAGTGAATATTGGGCCATTAAAGTGCAACACATCCAAAAGATGAGTGTCGCAGAAATGCAGATGCTAAGATGGATGAGAGGTCATATAAAATTAGATAGATCAAAAATGATCACATTCTCCAGAAGATGCAAGTAGCACATATTGAGGATAAAATGAGAGAATGTCGTTTGAGATGATTTGGTCATGTCCCAAGTCTACCTCCAGATGCACCGATTTGTAGGCGTTAAACCACAACGAGTGAAGGTGTTAAAAAGGGACGACGTACACCTAAAATCACATGGAAATAAGTTGTCTTGAAAGACCTATAATTTCTTGGAACCCATGCAAGCTCAGCGAAAGATAGACACAATGGAAACATAATCAGTGAGGATTCATATAACCGACCCTGGCTTATTTGGAACTGAGGTGTAATTGTTGGATTATTTTATCTAACTCGTGACAAGCAAAGAATCAAGAATTTCAAATACTAATAGTTCTAGCTTATATCTCAAGCTGATTTTTCCGATGGTAAATGTGCTAGAATTTGAAATTATCCTCCATCAAGCAAAACTAGGAAGCAATCTAACCATTCATTTCATTTTAGCACAAGTGAAACTATTCACACTTCTCAATTTCAAGGAGTGACCTGCCTGACCATCGTTTTAAACTACTTATAACACCCAAATAAAGAAATCGTCGATCTACTATGCTTCAGTTACCTTTTTCTTAAGTTCTTCAAGTTTCCGACCTGAAATTTCTGTTTGCCTTTCCATCTGAATAAAATTAGAACAAAGTAACACATGAAATAAAGCACTAACACCAACTACGAAGTTTCAAATTCTAAGATTTAAATCATTTTTTAAAGCAACTTGGTCTACCTGGTGCTGATCATTCTCACTTGACTCAGCTGACAGCTCTCTACTAGCATGGTCGTCTAAATTAGACCTGTTCAAATTAGACTTCCATTAAAACTGTCCATTATGCTCATCTAAGTTAGATCACCATCAAGAAGTGGATTGATTTTACATTGTCAACCAAAACAAGAAAAGACCAGAGCTACCAAGCAAGCATGGGATAAATGGTTTCAAGCTACGGTGAACACTAAACTAATAGTAACAATTGCACAAGTTTCCATCATAAGCAAGTGCAAAATATAACTAATGAGGTCTGCACATCTATATGTTTCCGCAGAATGTAATAATATATCAGCATAAGAACATATGCCAAATAAAAAGTTCCCAAAGAAGTAAATCGTACATGAAACATCAGCGTAATTTCTTCTGGCATGCCTCAAATATCAGTTAAGTGGTTGAATACTCTACTCAATTTTCTAGTGTAAATGAAGAATAATCAAAAAAAATAAAACCAAATTTGTACAATTTGAGAACGGCAATCCACTTTAATGTGGTTGCAAGCCGCAAACATGAGTTATAGAGAAATAACGTATCAATAAGACATATCCAAGGTGGAAAGTGGCAGAATCACACTAATATGCCTCTGCACAAAATTACTTGAGCCTTCCTACCACTTTTCAGAAACCACCAATCAGTAGAGACTATACACAATGTACAATAATAATGAGTACCAGCAGTATGTAACGCAAAGTATGGTCAACCAATTTAGTTGCTTAAAAACTAGCAGCAACACATTAAGTAATGTACGTCCTACCTAGGCAGTAGCTTAGGCATTTGATCCTTCTCTCTATCTCTGCTTTTATGGTTACTGTTGGTTTTCTGCATCTTTATAGGCTGGTCCCTCTCTCTTTCCCAGCTACTTTCTCGAATCCTTTCATCTTCCTGCTCAACATCCTCCAAACGTCTTTCATCATCGGCAACCCGATCTCTATTGACTTGATAATCTCGTGATCGACCACGATCACGATTTCGGTCATATCCTCTCTCCCTCTTGTGATCGCGGTCTCGAGAATGCTCTCTATGCCCATTCCTACGTCTGTTATCATCATGATCATAGCCTCTTTCCCAGTCTCGATCCGTATCACCACCTCTCACCCCTCTCTCAGAATGCTGAATACTTTCTCGACCAAAATCTGATCTGCCACCTCTTGTAGTCACTTCATTTACTCTTACAACTCGCCCATCAATAGTCTGGTGGAAATATATGATATTTTAGAGTATGATAAGCTCATAGTGAATTTCATGAAGAATTAAAATTATGATGTACATGGATATAGAATCATCTACTAAGGATAAAAATCACTTCAGTAATTATAAGTTAGATAACAGAGAGATCAGAAAATACCCTCCCATCCATTTCATTGATGGCATGCGTGGCTGACCGAGGATTAGTGAAGGTGACAAAGCCATAACATTTCCCCCCAACCTTACGGTCATTGATTATCTGAAAGTAAAACGTCCAACTTCTGAAAATAAAAATAAATGCAGAAAAAGAAAAAGCTATTGCAGCCGTCTGACAATATTACCTGCTGGCCATGATTCTAAGATACTGTTTTCAACCAAAGCACAAGCAGATGTGGCTACTTATCACAATGAACCTATCTAGTCATACAGAGAAATCACTTATATATTTGAATCACAATTTTAATTTCGAGGAACAAAATGATGCCAAGTACAACAAAAACTGCATGATTTAACTGGAAACCAGATGCAGTCAAAATTACTGAATCCATGCTCCTCTAATTCAAACACACGAAGCCACAACCTTTTCAGCATGTAAGAAACTTGGGTTCATAGTAAAATGTTTAACCGGGCTTGATATTAATTCAAAGAGTCATAACAAGCTTAACCAACTTTTTTTACTTCTGTAGGCATCACCTCAACCAACCCTAATTTTAGGCACAGCAGTTTTTCAGTACCAACCACTTACCATATAAAGGCAAGGAGTCTTTCATACCATTCAGTAAAATAGCTTAATTCTTTAAATGGGAACCAAAACATGTTCATGCTGTAACGCTCTAACCTTTTATTCAATTAACAACAAGCTAACATAACTTATGCAACTATTCTAGTAGGGGGGAAAACAGAACAAAATTAAAATGAACAATTAGCTCACAGAAGACTTGGTATTAATATCAAGAAGCTCACAGAAAATTCCGTTTTGCCTTGGCAAAATCCCATGGAATTCCAATTCGAAAAAACCCTAATTTATGACATAAGCTGAGATAAATAGTAAAACATTAGTATGATTAAGACCTTAATGTCTACAACAGCACCGTAAACATCGAAGACTCGACGGAGAGTTTCTTCGGTGGCGCTGTACGGAAGCCCTCCCACATATATCGAGCTCTCGTCGTCAACTGTCATTCTTTCTCCTGCACAACGTTGCAACTGGTTAATTGTATTTTTAAAAGTTTGCTGACAGCAGAGTGGCCGATGACGGCGAATACCCGTATATAATAGACGTATATATTTGACAATGTAGATAATAGACGTATATATTTGACAATTTTCCCGTATTATTACGGGAATAGGATTAGATTACTAATTAGTCATTAGAAATAGAGCCGTGCATAATTTATTAAATACCCAATTATCCTATCAAAATCGAAAATTTTGATATTGTTATTCGATACGGTATGGTATTTGGTTTAAATTTTAAAAAAAATTGGTATTAGGTATGGTATTTGGTATTTTAAAATAAAATACCGAAATACCGATATCGTACTGAAATATATATTATATTACACAATACACATATTATTAATTATAATATAAATATTAAAAAACTATAATTTTACTTTTCTTTAACTCTAAGCAAGTAACAAGACATTTCTATTGATCAAATTTATTCTTTTATGTACAGTTTTCTCTCTCTGGGTTGATATTTGCTTATTTTGAACAAAACTTTTGTCAACAAACATTTTTAGTTTTGTACTTTTGAGTACTTTAATAAAGAATATTACAGTCTATGACTATATGCACTAGTTAATATTCAAACTGAAATTACTGAACCGAATAAACCAAAACCGAAAGGAGAAAAATCGAATCATATTGAATTTAATTAGGTACGGTATTGGTATAATATTTTAAGAAACCGAATACCGAAAATACCGAACCAAAATATCTAAATACCGTACTATACCGACCGACAAACACCCGTAATTAAAAATAGACAAATAACAATACATTATCTATAATTATCCATTATATTTAAGATTAGGTCTAACTTTATCCTTCATATATCACTTTGAGGGGAACGGCTCCACTCCATTACTGGTTGCTCCATATTTATCAATACAGTCTTAGATGGCTGACACATGTACTCTTTAAAGTTGAAAGGCCAAGAATTATTTTTAGTACATTGTTTGTTTTTTGGTTAAATTTCTATTAATGGTAACATTAGAAAGAGAAAGGAGCTAAATCTATCAGTTAAAAACCTTCAAGCTTTCTCATCATTTCCCTTTCCATCTTCTTCATTTTCTAAAGCATAACCAAAAATCTATCTATATAGAATAAGATAAGAAAATTCATGTTATTATGCCAAGTATCAAAATAGAAAATGAACATATGTCTAGTTTTAGGACAAACCTTCAACTAATTTGGAGGTTCAAAAATAATTTAAAATAGAAATTTAAAAATTTGCTAATTCAGTTTACATCAACATATGAGTCCCATGTTTAAAAAACTATTTTTTTTCCTTTTTAAAAGAAGTTCTGTCGACCTCAATTTTTCTCCGTGAGATATTGTGACGGCGCCTAGTCTCTAAGACTAGGTAAGCCTAAACAATACGCGGAAACATTAAATAAGAGATTAAAACTTGAACATCCCAACAATTTCATAAAGGAATCTACCAAAACTCAATACATAAAATCCCAAAACCTGGTGAGATATAAGTCACAAGCTTTAAGTACAGTATCGAATAATCCTATATATCACTGTCTATCAAAATATAAAGAAATAAGAAAAATAACGGAATAGAAGGGGACTCTAAGGCCTACGGTCGCGGGCAAGTGTACCTTGAAGTCTCCAAAGCAGTAACACAGTGTACTAATATCGGGGCTGGTAAGATGCACCTGGATCTGCACAAAGACATATGCAGAAGCGTAGTATGAGTACACCACAACGGTGCCCAGTAAGTGGCAGGCCTAACCTCAGTAGAGTAGTGACGAGGTCAGGTGAGGGCCCTATTGAAAATAATAGGAAGCAAGGCAGAAGATATAATAATATAATGAAATGACTGAGAAGTGAACAATGGGAATTTACAGAAAGATAATAATACGGGATTCAAGAAGACAACTACACACATGTGAGGAAAAACAAGATTCTTACAAGTTAAGAAACAACGACCACAACACATGAAATAGAGGTAAACAACAGGGGCGCTCCTGAGGTACCGCCTCGTAGTCCCAAAAGTAAATATGCAACAGGGGCGCTCCCAAGGTACCGCCTCGTAGTCACAAAAGTAAATACACAACAGGGGCGCTCCCGAGGTACCGCCTCGTAGTCCCAAAAGTAAATATGCAACAGGGGCGCTCCCGAGGTACCGCCTCGTAGTCCCAAAAGTAAATATGCAACACATAACCAATGAAACAATGAAATTACAATAAGAAATCTTACAGTTAAAGACTGAATACAAAATCAGGGAAGCAGGTAATTCAACTAAGCATGTTACACAAATTGCAAGTAAGAGATAAGACACGTAGACATGTGACATTAGGCTAAACATGACGACTACACGTGCTAAAGTAACCCAGTTAAGGAAATAAAAGGAACTATTTAGCAAAAACCGGATTTCAACATTTAGCCGAGTACGCACTCGTCACCTCGCATACGCGGCCTTCAATTATTGCAATTTACCATAACATTACCAATTCCTAAGGGAAATTTTCTCCATTCAAGGTTAGACAAGTCACTTACCTCAAAATCTCGCCCAATCAATCAATAAGAATGGCTTTCCCTCGACTTTCCAACTCCAATCGGCTCGAATCTAACCAAAATAATTATATACTATAAATATAACTATAAGAAACTAATTTAAATAATAAAACTACGACTTTAGCAAAAGAATTGAAAAATTGCTCCAAAAAGTCGACTCGGGCCCACATCTCGGAACCCGACCAAAATTATAAAATCCGAACACTCATTCGATAAAAAGTCCAACCATACAAGAATTACTCAAATCCGACCTCATTTGGCATTTCAAAACCCAAAAATTCGGTCTAAGAACTTTCACTATTTTCCCCCAAATTTCTCAACCCAAATTCTTAATTAATTGAAGAAATTAATGATAGATTAGTGGAGATTAATCAAAAATGAGTCAAGAATGCTTACCCAAATATTTTCTCTGAAAATCCCTCAAATTTTTGCTTCAATCCGAGCTCTCTAGGTCTAAAAATGGAGAATGAAATCAAACCCTCGAACTTAGGCCTTTTCTGCCCAGTGAATTCGCACCTGCGAACCCACAGCCACATCTGCGTAATTTTCATCGCAGGTGCGGACTTCACTTAAGTCCCCTGGGTCTGCTTCTGCGAGAATAGGGTTGCACCTGCGCGTGCGCGCCTGTGGCAAAACATGTCGCACCTGCGACCCAGTAGCTCCTGCGCATCTCCCTACTGCAGAAGCAAAGCCGCTTCTGCGGAAACTGTTCCGCACCTGCGAGTCCTGCCTGGACTGCCCATAACCGCTTTTGCGCTCCATTTCTCACACATGCGAGTCCGCACCTGCGGCCAATCCCTCCGCAGGTGCGATGACACCAGAACTGGGAGCTTCAACATTTTCACAAGTCCAAAATTTGTTCCGGATTCAATCCGAATCACACCCGAGACCTCTAGGACCCCGTACGAATATACCAACAAGTCCTAAAATATCATACGGACTTAGTCGAGCCTTTAAATCACATCAAACAACGTTAAAAATACGAATTGCACATCGATTCAAGCCTAATGAACTTTAGAACTTCTAACTTCTATATTTGATGTCGAAACCTATCAAATCAAGTCCGATTGACCTCAAATTTTGCACACAAGTCATGATTGACATTACGGACCTACTCCAACTTCCGGAATCGGAATCTGACCCCGATATCAAAAAGTCCACTCCCGATCAAACTTTTCAAAAATCATCCAATTTTTCAACTTTCGCCAATTAACGCCGAAATGACCTATGGACCTCCAAATCAACATCTGGTCACGCTCCTAAGACCAAAATCATCCTATGGAACACTGGAACCATCGAAACTCCATTCTGGAGTCGTCTTCATATATTTCTAACTACGGTTAATTCCTACGACTTAAACTTCCATTTTAGGGACTATGCGTCCCATTTCACTCCGAAACGAAAAACCAAACCTCCCGGCAAGTCACGTAACCACAAAATAAAATAGAGGGAGCAATAAATAGGGGTTCGGAGCTAATACTCTAAAAATGACCGGGCGGATCGTTACAAGTTCACTATATTTGAAACTTCCAATTCAGTTTACATACATACAGTCCCACGTTTGTTGGGCTGTTTTTTTTTTAATTTGTTAAACTTGAAAAAACTGTTTTTTTTTTCTTTTTTACAAGAAGTTCACAACGTTTGAAACTTCCGATTCAATTTACATACATTCAGTCCCACGTTTGTTGGGATATATTTTTTTTTATTTGTTAAACCTGAAAATTTAATAAATTAAACTATTTTCATCCACGTCTAGAATTGACTCCCGCGTTTGGAATTGGCTAATTCAGTTTACATCAATATTTGAGTCTCATTTTTGTTGTGCTTTTTTTTTTTATTTGTTTAAAGAAGTTCACAAAGTTTAAAACTTCCAATTTAGTTGACATCTATATAGAGTCCCACGTTTGTTGGGATGTGTTTTTTTAATTTGTTAAACCTGAAAATTCAGTATATAAAATTACTTTGATCCACGTCTGGAATTAACTCCCACGTTTGGAATTGGCCAGTTTTAAACAATATAGATAGATTTCACAAAGAAATGGGAAGAAAGATTAAAAAACACAATAATCTTCCCAAACGTGTGCATCATAACCTAATTCCATAACTTATCCATTTTTTCCATAACTACAAATAATATTTTTATCACGACCCAAAATCCAACTAGTCGTGATGGCACCTAACCCAACCCGTCAGGTAAGCCAATTAACAACTAACTAATTTAATGAGATTTATTAAAAAGAGAAATGATAATACAACTACTTTTATACAAGAATTTTTGAAGGACTAGTACAAATCATGAGCTTCTAAGATTTAGAATTTACAAAGTTGGTATGAAATAAAGTACATCATTTGTCTGAAATATACATGAACAGATTAAAATTCTAAAGTTACCAAGATCGAGAGGCAGCTATGACCGGAACGCAAGTACATTTTCAAGTCCAACTCCCGCCGTGCACAACAACATCAACATCTAACATCTGCACGCACGGTGAAGAAGTGTAGTATGAGTACAACT